CTAGAGGAAGGGGCAAACTGTCCTGTGACTTGGAACTGGGTGGAGCTAGGCCTTGAAGGTGTCCATAAAAGAAGTTCAGGAGGAGGGTTTAGACTTGTGGACTCTGGAAATTCTTTTTTTTTTGAGATGGAGTTTCGCTCTCGTTACCCAGGCTGGAGTGCGATGGCTCAATCTCGGCTCACCACAACCTCTGCCTCCTGAGTTCAGGCAATCCTCCTGCCTAGCTGGGATTACAGGCATGTACCACCATGCCCAGCTACTAATTTTTTGTATTTTTAGTAGAGATGGGGTTTCATCTTGTTGACCAGAATGGTCTCGATCCCTTGACCTTGTGATCCACCCGTCTCGGCCTCTCAAAGTGCTGGGATTACATCTTATCTAGGACCCATTCCAAGTGAATTTTGAATTGTACTTCCCTTCTGACATCCTCTTTTTAAAGTTCTATCAAAAATTGTACCCTGGCTCTATGTTGCCATGTGTGAAAATGAATTAACCTAAATGTGGACTCCCTATAATACAGTGGATAAGAGACTTGGAGCCAGACACAGGAGACAAACTCCTCCACTGCTTTTTAGCTGAAAAATCAGTTAAGAGGTAAATTAACTAGCATAGGTGAGAAGTCCACAATAACCAGATGCAAGTAGTAGAAATGGGAATGGAAAGACATGGATTAAAGGGAGATTGATAGCTAATCATAAGTGGGACACAGGAGAATTTTTTAAATGTCCCTGAAATTTCTACTTAGGACAACTGAATAAATTGCCGTCGCCTGAAACAGGAACTAAAAGAGGAAGGTCATGTGTTTAGCAGGGATAATAATAAAATGATAGCAGGGAATGAATGTTTATATTCCTCTCAATGCATAATATGCATAGAAACAACTAAAGTGAGGTATCCTAAACATCTATCTACACACACACATGCACTGTGGCAAAGGTGAGGAAGGACGTGATTTCAGTATGCACATGCTTAACTTATGTATATCATAAAAAATCAGGCTATGGAAGAGAGGAAGAATGCTATATGCATCTGATTTTTATTTTTTATTTTCACAGATCTGAGGATACAAGTGCAGTTGTGTTACATGGATATATTGTGTAGTAGTAGTGAAGTCTGGGCATTTAGTGTACCCATCACCCAAATAGTGTACACTACCCAACAGGTAGTATTTCATCCTTCACCCTTCTCCCACCCTTTCATCTTTTGAAGTCACCAGTGTCTATGATTCCACTCTATATGTCCATGTGTATTAATTGTTTAGCTTCCACTTAGAAGTGAGAACACAGGCATTAGATTTGATCTGGGTCCTGATACTTAATTCAAAAAGAGAAACAAGGTAAATTACTCAGTTGTAAATTTACCCATTTCTTATTTTTAGTATTTCTTAAAAGTATTTAGTCATTAATTATCTGAAATACTTACTTAAAGCAGAGATCACTGGCTCCTCTCCTGATGATTCTGATTTGGGGGGATCTGAAATACAAGGAACCAGGAATCTACACATTTACAAGCATTAACAGGTGATTCTCATCCTTAGCCAAGTTTGGAAAATCATAATTAAAGGCAAGGTTCCCAGAGCCCCTAGTGCCTCAATAATTTTTTCATGGTACCTCAGGCCAAAATAAACACCCCAAATTTCTATTTACGAAGTTGATACATCCAAACTTGATAGTTGTAGTTGTTAATAAAGTCCAACAGATGTCACTGTGTTTCCCTCAAAAAGTTAAACTATCCTACAGAACCCCTAGGAATTCTGAGGCACCCCAGGGCACTGAGGAAGTTTATAAGCTACAGCCTAAAGGGAAATTTTTTCTGGCATAGTATATAAATAAAATCTCTGAATGGGCCTCCTATAAGAACATGTAACAAAGTGAACTTTGTGTCCCATAAATTTCATTGCTTTTAATATTATTTGTTGCTGTTTTCATATGGTTTTTATATATATAACAGGCATACTAAAACATTTTTCTACAGAGGCAGAGAGCAAATTTATTTTGTATGTGTGTATTGTGGGGGGCACAGATGACCTTGATTGCAAATTCTTTTCTTATCCATTCTCTTGCAACCCTTTAAACACATAAAAACCATTCTTATCTCCTGAATTTGATCTATAGGCTATAGTTTGCCAACCACTACTGTAGTTTTACAACCTAGAGTATAACATTACTCTAGGTTGTAAAACCTAGAGTGCAATTCAATGAGGGTGATTCTGCAAGATTGGAAGCCCTCAATGTTTCTGTTTTCCTCTTTTCCCTTTTTGCTCCAGGGAAGACTGTGCAAGGAATACTGGAAGGACCTACTGATTTCAATACTACTGTAAACAGAGGGTTACCATAGAATTTTCTTGCTCAAAATTCTTGATTTAAGGAGAATCTGCAAGGTATCCCAGTTTAATAAAGAATCCCTGCTGAATTTCCAAGAAAAGGAAATAGGTTATTGCACCAAGCCCTTTAACACTTATTTGCTGATTATGTGAATGGCTAATGAGATTCCACAGTCTTAACTAATAAGGCAATTCTTAGTTTATAATAGATTCATGTTTACAAGATATGCTATATTTCTAGCTCTTATTCCCAAAATTAGTGTGGCTGTCTTGAAATTATGCATTGTACTTAAACCTTATATTTTACATCCGTTATTTATTTTTTAATTTATTGAGACAGAGTTTTCCTCTTGTTGCCCAGGCTGGAGTGCAATGGTGTTATCCTGGCTCACTGCAACCTCTGCCTCCTGGGCTAAAATGATTCTCCTGCCTCAGCTTCCTGAGTAGCCAGGATTACAGATGCCCACCACCACATCCAGCTAATTTTTTCTATTTTTAGTAGAGACAGAGTTTCCCCATATTGGCAAGGCTAGTCTTGACTTTTTAGAGAATCCAGTATGACAATTCCGCATGTTCCTATGCTAGTCACAAAAGAGATAAATATCACTGGCAATAATTGTCTTGAGAAAAACTAAGATATCTTGAGGAAGCTCCAATCCATATTTAAAAAGAAAAAAAGTACACTTTTTAAAAAGTGTACCATATAGACTCTTCCAAGTTACAATCTCTTGCAGCTTCCACCAAAAAGATGTTTGTTGATTAAAGTTTTCCTACAAATTTAAGTCATTACTTCTTTTGCACATTGTCGTAAGCACCCTGAAATTACCGCTGATAAAATTTTATACATTTATACATCCATTTACTTTATTTTTCTCCCATAGAGATTCTAATATTCCACAAAGCAGGGACAGTGCGTTTGGCTCACCTCTATCTCCAAGCACACAGAATTGTGTCTATTAGGTGTTCAATAAATATTTGTGAACTTACTGATCAAAGACAAAATTACATTTAGTCAGAATCATCCAATGAAAAGCATTATGTATTTGATGACTAGTAGACTTAGATTAACAGTTCCAGGACCACCGCTAATTTTGTTTGGGTTATTAGTAACATCCCTTTAGGGCTGCGGCGATCCTATCTCGTCGACCTCCCTTTCTGTTACACGCCTTTGCCACTTCACTCTGATGAAGGAGCAGGTGGAGGCCGAGGGACAGTAGCGATTTTCTTTTTCTTAATTTGAGATGGCGCTCTTTCGGCCAGGCTACAGTACACTGGCGAGATCTAGGCTCACTGCAACTTCCGCTTTCCGGGTTCCAGCGATTCTTCTGCCTCAACCTCCCAAGTAGCTGGGATCACAAACATGTGCCACCACGCCCAGCTCATTTTTGTATTTTTAGTATAAACGGGATTTCACCATATTGGTCAGGCTGCTCTCGAACCCCTGACCTCTGGATCTGCCCGCCTCGGCTTCCCAAAGTACTGGGATTACAGGCATGAGCCACTGCACCCAACCCAGCGATTTTCTTAGCCATTTTCTTATCAGTAGAGGCCAAAGGAAGCAGCAGTTCACTACATAGTGGGTTATCTTTACAAGGAAGTTGCACTGGGCAGAGATGCAGCTCAGCAAACAAATCACTGCAGCAATTTCGGAGCTTTTTGACAACGCGAATTTTTTTTTTTTTTTTTCAAGACGAAGTCTCGCTCTGTTGCCAAGCTGGAGCGCAGTGGCATGATCTCGGTTCACTGTAACCTCCGCATACCAGATTCAAGAGATTCTCCTGTCTCCGCCTCTTGAGTATATGGGAGTACAGGTCTGCGCCACCACGCCCAGCTAATGTTTGTATTTTTAGTAGGGATGGGGTGTCACCTTGTTGGCCAGGATGGTCTGGATCTCCTGACCTCTTGATTCACCCGCCTCGGCCTCCCAAAGTGCTGGGATTACTGGCGTGAGACACCAAGCCCGGCCGAAAATTTCGCCAAAGACCTAGAAATATTTGCAAGACATGCGAAAAGAACCACCATTAACACTGAAGATGTGAAGCTCTTGCCCAGGAGGAATAATTTACCGCTAAAACACATCACAGACAAAAGTGAAGAGCTTATTCAGATTAACGTAGAACGAAAGACACAGAAGAAAAAGAAGATGGAAACAAAAATGCAGAGGTAGAGGGAAGTTGAGAATTAACCTTTCTCCCGCTGCTTGGAAAATGCAGCTTTCTGTAGGTAGAGATAACTAGTATGTCTATGGCCGCAAAGGGAATTTTGAAGGGATAGAGGTTAAAAAAAAAGGCTAGATGTTGTTTTCCAAGTCGTTAAACTGCAAACGCTAGTTTTAAGAGAACTGGACCCTCAAGCAAAATACACTGATGTCTCACTCCAGCACATACAAATGGTGTGTAGTTGAATGGCGTACTGGAAATAGTATCTATTGGAATTAATAAAATTGTGTGAGCAATTTGAAAGAAAAAAAAAGCATTCATCTTTCAGAGTGCATTTCCTTCTGTGTCAAACTGGAATATTTCTACCTGTCGCCAGCTCCCGGGGATGCTGCTAGAATCACGCGGAAGAGCGGGTTCATTTGCTCTACAAACAGCGAAGGAAGTTGCAGACCAGTCCAGCCACCCAGGCCACTGAGGCCAACTACTGAGGGACCTCCATGCCTCCTCCATGTGTACGGGACCACCCGTAACAGGTGAACTCTGGAATGCCTAACCTCGCGTCACGGGCTGTTGCCCGGCGGACGCCCTTGGCGTCCTGAGGGAAGGCGGGGCCAGTGCCAAGGTGGCGAGCCGCCGCAGACCCGGCCACCGGGAGCAACAGCTCTGTGGTAGGCCGGAAGTCCCATCCTACTTCGCGGGCAGCTAGCGCGAAGCTGACTGGAACTCGACCTTGTTTTGTCGTTGCTAGGAGACGCGGCTCCTGCGCGCCCCCCACTGGCCGGCGCCTGGGCGGTGCACAGGCAGGGGGCGGGGCCTGTGGCGTGGAGCTGCCTGGCGAGCACCGTTAGGGCAGCTTGGCGCGCGGCGCCCGCCCGGCGCCCAGTCCTCCGCCACCGCCCACGCCTTCCTGGTGCCAGCCAACAGGTATCAGCGCGCCTCCCCAGCGGCTGAGAGAGACGCTGAGTGAAGAGGAGGGAAGGACGGTTAGTCAGGTGAGCCGCGGCGGGGCGGGCGGCCAAGGGCGACCACGCCCTGCCGAGGGAGAAGAGCCGGCCGTGTGCGGATGGGCAGGGTGAAGGGATCCTGCTCCGGGGACGGTGGGCTTACTCGGCGGGCGCGCCAGGTCGGACCTCATGCGCCTCAGGGACCCACACAACCTGCAACCTCGGGCCAGCGGACAAAGGGTTAACGCGTTGGCGGTGACTGCGGGCCCCGGATGTGAGAGCCTCGGCTTGGCGCCCTGGCCAAGCTGCAGGTGCGCCGGGCCCGGTGGAGCCGGCAGGCTGGCGGCGACCTGGCCGGTCGAGGCTCCCATTCCCCTGCAGAGGCCGCTCGGCTCCCTTCGAGAACGCCGCCTTTTCTAACTTAGGGGCAACAGGTGGTGCCGGTGGACCAAGAAAGCGCCCGACTCCTCTGCGCTGGGAGCGGCAGTTACCCTCACCAATTAGGGAGCGGGGGCGGGAGTTGAATGGCTGCTCTGATGCGGGTGACCAATGGGATTTGGAATTATGGGTGGACCGGGAGGAGTGGGCCTGGTCTGAGTCTGAGTCCAGGGTTTCTAGAGCCGCAACTGCCAGAGCTGCTTGGAGAGCTGAGCTGGAAGGACGTGGGGTGCTTAGCCCTGCGTAGAAACGCCTGCCAATGCGTTCCCATTTGGACCCAGACTCCATATCGGGAGGTGAGAACGTTATTTTTAAAGGGATGGGAGATAGTAGTTATCTAAGCCTGTGGAATTAGATTCCCAAGATAGGACCTATGAGTTTTCTGCCAAATAGGCACTTTGTGGTTACCGCGACTTACACCAGATACTAGTGACTGGGTTCTTTCCAGAATGAGGTCTTTGAGGGTTGGGGAACCAGGAGAATAGCGTACATATTACTGCAATTTAAGTAAACCAAATAATTTCTATCACTGTTATTCCATCGTTTGTCTAGGATTGTATAGGTTTTCATGTACATTTCATCTCTTCTTGTTTGTTTAGCAAAGCAAGTTGTAAGTTATTCGTGTTATTTTAGCAAAATAGAATAAACCTGTTTACTGTATTATTTCAGAAGAATAACTTATCCCTTCTTCCCTCTCCCAGTAGTCTTATATAGCTGGATCCCCTACGAAGACAAGTTCTAAAGCAAGAAGAGGAAAGCATTTCAATTTGGGACATTTATTCACAGCTGGAAATGGGGAATGGGCTGTCAGACCAGACTTCTATCCTGTCCAGCCTGCCTTCATTTCAGTCCTTCCACATTGTTATTCTCGGTTTGGACTGTGCTGGAAAAACAACTGTCTTATACAGGCTGCAGTTCAATGAATTTGTAAATACTGTACCTACCAAAGGATTTAACACTGAGAAAATAAAGGTAACCCTGGGAAATTCTAAAACAGTCACTTTTCACTTCTGGGATGTAGGTGGTCAGGAGAAATTAAGGCCACTGTGGAAATCATATACCAGATGCACAGATGGCATTGTATTTGTTGTGGACTCTGTTGATGTTGAAAGGATGGAAGAAGCCAAAACTGAACTTCACAAAATAACTAGGATATCAGAAAATCAAGGAGTCCCTGTACTTATAGTTGCCAACAAACAAGACTTGAGGAACTCATTGTCTCTTTCAGAAATTGAGAAATTGTTAGCAATGGGTGAACTGAGCTCATCAACTCCTTGGCATTTGCAGCCTACCTGTGCAATCATAGGAGATGGCCTAAAGGAAGGACTTGAGAAACTACATGATATGATAATTAAAAGAAGAAAAATGTTGCGACAACAGAAAAAGAAAAGATGAATATCCATACCTATTATATCTGTGTGGAGTAGGTTTTCTCTGGTCTGATTTTGACAAATAGAAGAGTGTCTACAGCGTGGTTTGCCTGTCTGCCCTCCTGGATGCTATTAAAGCTTTGTTTTGTTGAACAATCAGATGCCCAACTCTGTTGCCTTGTGGAAGATGAGTAAATGCAGTGCTTCTTAAAGTGGTCTCTTCTCCCTACCCGACAATTCTTTTGGTACTACCATTTGGGGAAGCCAAGCAAGGATAGTAAATTGACCAGAACACAGTTGTGGAAATTTGACCTGAAGTTAGTGAAATAAAACTTTAAAGAGTGTCTACCTAGTGTTTTTTGCTTATATCTTTTGGGGGGAAGCCTTTGCAAGAAAATTGCATACAAGGCTTTGTAACGATAGAGTGCTAATTGATGGAAATGTTAAGATAGATTACCATATATGCAGTTTCATTGATCACATTGGTCCACCCAGTCCTTTTTTGAAGTAAGAGACAAGGAGTAAGTATTTGCTTTTTTAAGTTTTGGCGAAATGATTTTTTGACACTTTCTGGAATCAAATAATTTAATGGTATGGTTTAGACAATGTTTAAGTTGATCTGCCTTTAATAAAAATAAGATATTTGGGGTATATTCAAGTGCATGGATTAGTTTTCCTGACAAAGCATGTTTTGGTGTGTATTCTTACTTTTTAGAAATAGCTATGCATTGTTCTACACAGGTTTAAAACAACTTTTTGGGGGATTTAGGGCTATTACAGAAATAGTTTGCTGTCAGAAGCACTTTCACTTGAAGAACCTAAAATAATTTACTTGACTCATTCATGGTAAATATGGGCATGTAAACTAATATGCACTGGATACATATATGGATTTTTTAAGATGGCAATTGATTTAGTCAAGAGGATGTAATTACAATATGTGGTCTCTAAAATATTCCAGTTATAAGATATTTTATTAATATTTGCTGGCTGAAAAATGTGGTTTTTATATATTTTTGTAGTGTGTTGGGAAGAGCAAAAGCTTTATAAATGTACCTGATGCACTGTAGAATGAAAATGTGAAAGAGATCCTGTATGTGTTCTGAGCTTTAATTTTTTGTTTACAAATTGAACGGTGTTATATGGGCTGTTCAGTCCTGATTATAGAGAGGAATAAATAAATGGTAACAGTATGACAGATAAGAATTACAGTGATAGAAAATAAAGGGTAAAATAACAAACCTGTTAGATGAAAATTCGCTAGTGCTGTTTACTTTGGAATGAAAAACTCTGTAAGGAGGAAGGACCTTTTATCTAATTCTTACCTACAGGCAGAGACTTATTTCCAGTGATCATATACTACTAAATCAGCTTATTTTTTGTCTAAAACCAACAGCTGTTGGTTCTGAAACTCACCAAAAGAAATGCACTTTTCTAGCAAGATTGGTTTTGGCTTTGGGTGTCTTTTGTTGTTGTTGTTGTTTTTTAGTGGCATAACTGAGTTTTTGGAACCTTGATTCTTGTGTCACACAAAATGAATGAAGTAGCTTCATGTGGAGCCTTCGTATGTTAAATATTCCTGCAATAGTGATGGTCACTTAGAATGTTTATAGAAATGTGGATAATAACTACCAATAAACTACTTGAAGCACTAGGAGAACAGTATTTGACTTTGAATTTTGATGTATTTCCACTTTTGCTGAAGCTTTTAATTAGATTTGTAAAAACAACTGACCAGCTAGGCTGTTTAGTCCTATAGTAGTTTAGTTCTGCTTAGATGTGACAGGCATTGAAGGCTGCTTGATTTTTTTTTTCTTCTTTCACTGATACTGAAATCATGGTATCTGCTGCAAACATGAGTAGATCCATGATGGATTAATAAAGCTTGCTGAAAAAAAAAATCTGTGTATCAGTTAGATTTTTCAGTCTCCCTGTACTTTGTGTCTGCCTACTATATAAAACAGTACTCTTTTAACTATTTCGAAAGTTCATGTGTTGACCATTTGTGGCCTAAGAACTTAAGCAGATTAATGTCATCTAAGTTTTTCATATTTAATGGACAACAAAAGAGAAAATAGCATGAACACTGTACAAAGTTTGATTTATAAAAGACAATTCAGCTATAAAACTCATCATAAGATTTTCTAGATTGCTAAGTTCAAGTTCCCTACCACCTATTCTATTTATTAACACCATAGTGTAATGAGTCTTTAAATCCTGAAGAGTTTAGACTATGCTCCTATATCTAGTTTTTATTATAGCGCACCTTTTCCTAGTGCATATTTCTAAAATATTTTCTTGTTTTTGAAGTTACTGGGTTTAATACAAAATATTAATCAAGGACTGCTCAACCGTATCCAAATTATAGAACAAATTCAAGAAAAAACATTTTGATACTTAAAGATATTTAATTTTTAAAATGTGCAGAATTCTTAAAATGGTTTATAAATAGTGTTCTTAAACCATCAGAAGTATACTAAGATGGAAAAATTATTGGGAGACAAAAATATAGTTATAAATATATGTATATAAGAAGAATTACTAAATGAATGATGGTTTATGAACAGAGGGAAAGGCAAAGACTTAGTTTGTACAAGCCTTTTTTTTTTTTTTGAAACAGAGTCTTGCTCTCTTGCTCAGGCTTTAGTGCAGTGGCACGACCTCAGCTCACTGCAACCTCTGCCTCCTGTGTTCAAGTGATTCTCCTGTCTTAGCTTCCCAAGCAGCTGAGATTACAGGTGCACCACCATGCCCAGCGAATTTTTGTATTTTTAGTAGAGATGGGGTTTTGCCATGTTGGCCAGGCTGATCTTGAACTCCTAACCTCAGGTGAACCACCTGCTTCAGCCTCCCAAAGTGCTGGGATTATAGGTGTGAGCCACCACACCCAGCCTGTACAAGGCATTTGACACAAGGATTGTTCCATTCATTATTCACTGTGACCTTGAAGGAACTCTGGTATTTCAAGGTTCCATTTAGTATAATAATTTCCTCTGTAATGTAAACAATGATTTCATCAACAGTAATAAAGACGCAAAAAAAGTTATCAAACTTTAGATGATATAAAACAGCATTCAGCTGATGCAATTAAGAATCTTGGGTACAGCATCAAGCTGGAATTTTACCTTTGGAGCTGGAATTTTACCTTTAAGATTTAAATTTGGCAGAACATTCTGGAAATGGATCCTGGTGATATGCAGTACTATAGTGTTTAAGCCTTAATATCAACCAATATAAGGTGCCAATGTGAAGTAATAATGTTAACATGAAAATCTATGAAGATCAGAAGAAATAGTCTCAACAAACCACAGCCAAAGTATGCATCCAGTTCTGTGCATGGATATTAAAAATAGAGGAATACCTGTATAGGAAGCTAGTTTAGGAGGATGTTAAATGTACTGGCTGAAAACATGAGCTTTGGAGTCAGATCAGTGTTCAAGTCCTGGTTCTTCCATTATTACACATGCGACATTTTAGCAAATTCCTTGAAACTTATGATGAGAATGCCCTCCTGGGTAAATGAAGACTGTCTCATAAAATTTTGAGAGGGTTGAAGTAACGTATATAAACTGTTTCACATATTGCCAAGCATTTGGTAAAAACTGACCTATTGTTGTTAACCAGTAGGAATCAATATGTTTATTACTTCATCTGGGGCAATTTACTTGCAGCCTTAGTTTCTTCATTTGTAAACAGGATTATATCTACCATTGGGGTATAACTGGTTAAAAGGATTAAATCAAGCAATGATATTTAGCAGAGTAACTGACACTTTATTAAGCATTCAATGGATAGTTACTAATTGCCAGAATATGTTATGATCAATCTATTTAAAGAAAATACTTGTTGATCAGGAGTGGTGGTTCACACCGATAATCCCAGCACTTTGGGAGGCTGAGGTGGGTGGATCACAGGGTCAGGAGTTCAAGACCAGCCTGGCCAATATGGTGAAACCCCGTCTCTTCTAAAAGTACAAAAATTAGGTGGGTGTGGTGGTGAGTGCCTGTAGTCCCAGCTACTTGGGAGGTTGAGGCAGAGGTTGAACCCAGGAGGCAGAGGTTGCAGTGAGCCAAGATCATGCCACTGCACTCCAGCCTGGGCAACAGTGCGAGACTCCATCTCAAAAAAAAAAAAGAAAAAGAGAAAATACTTGGTTTGGTGGGTGGGGGTGGGGTGGAGGATATAACATGGTGAACTCATACATATCACAAAATGGCAACTTGGTGGAACTTGGTGAAAGTCTAAATTCCCTTGAAATATGGAATTTAGAAACCATTTCCTTAGGTTTCTAAAGTACCAATTTATTGTAACACAATATTGCCTTTTTCTGTAAGAGACAAAATTTAATTTAAAATCATGGTTATTTTCTAGTATAGACATACATCAAAATACAATACGTCGCTTTCAGGCATTAAAAATTTGAAATTGTCTCTATATATTGTGGTTCCTCAAAATGCCTCAAGATTGTTATCAGTAATTCACAAATTTTATCTAACGATAGGAATCTGTATGCCGACATTTAATGGAAACTTGCAGTATCTGTGGGCACATGTAGTTGAGGACAATGGTTGTGTTTTGGGTGATTATGTATGCTGTGTTCTTTTCCAGTTACTTTCAGTCTTTGGTCTTGTTTTTGTGTCTTCTGTTTATGTTGCACCTAAGTGGAGATAACCTATATTAGTAGTTGATGAGAGAGATTGAAGTTGATTCATTTCAGTGAAGGTCTACCTTTAGATAAAAATCTTAACTTTCTATTATGACAGATTTCAACCTTACCCAAAAGTAGAATAACATAATGAATACCCAAGTATCTGTCATCTTGTTTCAGTAGTTATCAACTCAGGGCCAATCTGGTTTCCTATACTTCCATTCACTTCCTTCCATGCCACTTTCCTTTTCCTTCCACTTGTGGATGATTTTGAAGTGAGTTCTGGGAATTACATTTTATTTATAAAGATTTTGGTGTATGTGTCTAAAAGATACTCACTTTAAAAAATTTCACTATCACATGTAAAAAATATATACTTCTTCAAAATAACCAAATATTCATGCAGCGTTTAGATTTCCCTCATTATTTTAAATTTGTAAAAAGCTTTTGGAATCAGCATTCAATAGACTATAGTCTACCCATTGTGATTGGTCAATATGTGTCTCTACAGATGTTTTCTCTCTCTCCTCTCTCTCTGATTGAATATTCCCTGCTATGTAGTTTCCTATATTCTGGGCTTTGTTGAATGCATCTCCATAGTGTTTACATGTTTCTTTGTACTTTGATTTTTCTGTTATTTTCTTTTTTCCCCCCAGGCTACCTCTGAGGTGATGGTGCTTTGTACTCCCATCAGTG